ACTTTGGGCCAATCACCAGGAGACGGGGAGTTCTAGTCCCGCCTTAGACACAAAAAGCCGGCTGGATGACTTTGGGCTGGTCCCTCCCTCTCACCCGAACCCACCTCACAGGGTTGTTGTTGTGGGTAGAAGAAGAGGAGGTGCATTTGGATTGTTCGCTGCCTTGAGTTATTTGTAAAAATAGGAAGCGGGTTGCAAATAAATAGAATGAAAAAGAGGTTTTAACCAGGGGGAAAAGTTTGGGACGCAGCGATTTAAGGTCTTCCTGGAAGGAGCCAGGCCCGAGCGTTGCATCGGGGGGTCTCAATGACGTCCTACCCCGTCGGGAAGGAGCACTCAGCTTCTCCGGTTTGGCACCCCCTCAATTTCCCCGACTGCCCCATAGACGGGGTGGGGCAAGGGGCAACGGGGACGAGGAAGTGCTGATCTGAAGCCCAGGCACCCCTCAATTCGTGCCACCTTTGGTGGCGCAAAGTTTCCAATTCTGAACTTCGTTTTTTTCCACGGCTTCCTTGAGTGACCCATCACAAAAGTCACAATAGCCCTGGTTACGACCAAGTCGTGCGCTTAATGACCATCGTGCCATCCAGCCCCCTGAGCAAAAATATTCAGGGGTTTTTGACCCAGCCTGGCACGTCCAGGCAGTCCTCAACTTACAACCGTCCTTTTTTGAGGCACTAAAAAGGCAATTTAGGATAGTTTTTTCCCAATTTTGGACCGTTGCTGAATCTCTGCAGTCACGCAGGTTTCAAAATTCAGATGCTTGTTTGGTTACAGACTCAGATTTGTCACAGTTGCTGTATATCCTGGGCAGTGGTGGGATAAAAAACAGCTACCAATTGGGATGAACCAGTATTTCTTTTTTTCCCAACGATCAGCTGTTCCGACAATCAGCTGTGCCTGGATCCCTCTCGCTGTCTTACTGAAGGCCAGGAGGCCAAAAAACAAAGTGGTGTGTGTGTGTGTGTGTGTAACACACACACAGACAAAGCCACACCCACCCAGTCACATGGCCATGCCCACCCCGCCACACCCACCTAGCCACGCTCACCGAACCGGTAGTAAAAATATTTGCATCCCACCCCTAATCCTGGGGCTACGCAATCCTCTTTTGCCATCTTCTGACAACGGGGGAGCCAGAGCCACTCAACAACCGTGAACGACGAGAGTGATTTGCTTAGCAACGGTGGCCAGAGAAAGGTCTTAAAACGGGGCAAAATTCATTTAGCAAGCCTCTGGCTTAGCAACGGATTTTTGGGGGGGTCCCTTGCGGGGTTGTAAGTCGAGAACTACCTGCATCACTGAATGGGAGCCCAAAATTGGGCCTTTTATGTTGGGGTCCCCATCTTACAGGTCCCCCAATCCCCCAAAGGTGGATGGCCCTGATGTTGAGATACTTCTCTACGTATTAAAAAAAAAATCCAATTTTTCAGACCAAACTTTGCTTTTCGGAGCGTTAGCGGAGCCCCCTCCCCAAACACGGTGAAAGGTTTATTAGCGTTAACGCCGGCGTGTGAAGGTTTCCCTTTTGGGGTTTTTAACACCAATGGTGGTTTTTATTCTTGGTCTAGCATCCGTAGCAAATATACAACCGACAAGCAAACCGTGGCAGCTTTTGGAGCGGCGAGAGGGAATTGAGACTCTCCGTTGGGTCAAAAACATTTCAATCGATTCCGTCCCCGTCTTTTAAAAAATTGGGCATAAAATGGATTTGGGGTTTTTTGGTGGGGGGAATTTTGGAGAGGTTGGGGAAGCGGGGGCAGAATGTCCCCAAACTCAAACGGTAGTTAGTCCTTCATTTACGATGGGAATTGAGCCCGTAGTGATGGCTGTGAGCAAATGAAGGCATTCGAAGTTACGAGCGTCGTCGTTTCCGTCGTGAAGCAAAAGCATTTTTTTTTCCCTAAGGGGCGTTGGGATACCAAAAGTCAGAAATAAAATGCCGGAAACAAGTAGCCGGGGGGAAACGCTCCCCAAATTACGGTCAGGGGAAACCGGGTTTGCAGCCGTCGTAACTCCAACAACGGGTTGCACGGGGCTGTATCGTGAACTTTGAACAGTCGTAAATCGAAGACTCCCTGTAAATCCAGAGCGGCTGTCCCCATCCAACCGGGAAATTAAGAAGTCCCAAGAAACAAACTATACACAAGCCAACTTGAGTGCATTTTGCTTATTTTCCAGTGACAAGTGATACAACGGCGGAAAAAAAACCATGTTGTGTCCCAGGTGCTGCACAGCCACAACGCTTCCGAGCCGTGCCCCAATCCGGTGTCGCTCGCCTCTTCCAGCCAAAAGCTAGTGAGCAGAGGGAGGGGAGGGGGGAGGGGGCTCCCCGCAGAAGAGAAACAGCCCCCCCACCCACCCAAGAAAAGTCCACGGATCACAAAGGTGGTTGTGTTTCGGGCAGGTGTGCAAGACCGGACAGCCGTCCCCTGCCGGACGGAGGGCGCTTGTGCAAGAGATGAGCCTCCTCACCCTCCAGAATGAGGGGGCAGGTGAGATTTGGGGAGCGTGGGGGGTGGGGGGGGAGAGGGAGGATGAGGGAGGGAGGGGAGGAAGACGGGTGGCTAGATAGATAAATAGGTGGAAAGAAGGGAGGGAGGGAGGAAGATGGCTAAATGGAAGGGAAATGACTAGATAAATAGGAAGGAAGGAAGGAAGGAAGGAAGGAAGGAAGGAAGGAAGGAAGGAAGGAAGGAAGGAAGGAAGGAGGGAAGGGAGGGAGGAAGATGAGAGGGAGGGTAAGAAAGAGGGAGGGAGGAATATAGATAGATGGATAGACAGATAAATAGGTAGATAGAAGAGAAGGAAGATAGATGGATAGGATAGGATAGGATAGGAAAGTAAAGGAAAAGAAAGGAAAGGAAAGGAAAGGAAAGGAAAAAGGAAAGGAAAGGAAAAAGGAAAGGAAAGGAGAAGGGAAGGGAAGGGAAGGGAAAGGAAAGGGACCCGGGTGAACATTTTTTTTTTATAAAAGTCAGGCTTCGAAAGCTGCAGGCCGAGCGATTAAGTGGAGCTTTGGAATCACCAGTTTTATCTGTTTGCAAGAGAGAGAAAGAGAGAGAGAACGAAGGTTTAGCTTTGGGGGAAAGGGGTGTGTGAGTGTGTGTGTGTGTGTGTGTGTGTGTGTGTGTGTGTGTATTGGGGCAGCAAGCAAGGGACGAGGCGAGCAGGGAGAAAAGGGACACAACCCTTGTGCTGCGACAACGGGCGGGTGCGGTTAAAACAGAAGCGAAAGGTCCAAGGAGCCGAACTCAACACAACCATGCCGACAACGTTCAGTGGAAACCGCAAAGATTTTCGCACCGTTTCCAGCCGGACGCCAAAGGTGGGTTAGACTCGAGCGAGCCACAACCGAACACAGCATCACAACTTCAACACGGCAACCACGCCCCACCGGATCCAGGGGACTCCCCTCGACTTACGACCACCGTTCAACCCCGTAGTTGCTGGGGGTGGCCAAAAGTGTTGCCCCCACACACACACCAACGTTGCAGATCACCTTCGACATGCACGTCATAAGACGGGCCGTAGAACGACGTCCTAATTGGATCGGGCAGTGGGTGGGCGGGAGTCCCAATCCTCTCGCCGCGCCCTCCGGGGTGGCCGGTGGGCAGCAACCCACAAGCTTCAAACAGGTGCGTGGGCTTTTATCGTTCAGAGGTTAATCTCCCCCCCCCCAAAAAAAGCTGAGATTTGGGGGGGGTGTTAAAGGACGGCCATGCGCCCCCAAATAGAAGGGGTGACCCTTTCGATGGGGATCATGCACGGGACAGTATGTTAGAAAGCAGAGGTCACTCCGAGCATCGCTTGACCCCCCCCCCCCAAAAAAAACCCTGGGACCCCTTCTCCGCTTCCCACACCCCAACACACACACACACACACAGCATGCCCAACACAAGGCCAACGCACAAAGCCCCTCCAGCGCACGGCAAAAAGTCGATATTTACATAGAAGTCATATCATTGAGAGCATGGTCCAGCTCCTCGCTTATGGCTTTGTATTTCAATTTCTGAGAATAGAGTTCATCTAAAAATAAAATTGGAGGAAGATCATCAGAGGGAGGGTCGGAATCAAACCAGGTTGGTTTTTTCTCGAGACCATTGCTAGGAAAGGGAACCGTGATCCAACGGTTCGAGAAACGGCGAGAAAACCTACCGCCGCTTTCGAGGATTTGGAGAAGAAAAGAAAAAAAGAAAACTTTTGTGGGATTTGTTCCAAAGCTAAGGCTGTGATGAAAAGTTTGGGTGTTGTTTTGTTTTTTTAATCTACTTTATCTCCGTGAAAATTAAAGAGGAATCCAGGTCCCACTTATGTCCGGAAAGAAAACAAAACAACGAAGAATTTAAAACCAGAGCTGTTGCCCTAGCTCGGTTATTTTGTGCTGGAAAACACGCAGCAGATAGAAGTGTGGGGTTTTTTTCCCTTTTGCTTCCACCCCACAAGGTTTCTCCCTTCACTTCGTTTTGAATTTCGTAGGGGGAAGACAATGCTGCTCTCTGTTGTGGGCCCAGAATGGCTGGAGAAAACCATTTTCGGGCTGAGAGATGAGCTGTTTACAACTTCTAACGTATAAAAATGGGACGTGTGAAATGAGGAGCCCCGAACCCACCGTTTCCCCCCGGAGTCTTGCAATTTGCAAAATATGACCGGGAGCGGTGGGGGTAGATTTGCATATTCTTCCTTCATGAGAAAAACAATGTCCGGGTTCCCCCTGAAAATAAGACCCAGGTTTTATATTCATTTTTGCTCCAAAAGATACATTAGCGCTTATTTTCCGGTTAGGTCCTATTTGGGGGAGGAGGGAAATACAACTCAATCCAATGTTTGTTGTCCGTGCACAACGTGTGTACAATAAAATTGAAAAGCAACTAAATGTGCCTGTCTGATCTTAACTGGGTCTTATTTTAGAGGGTAGAGCTTCTATTACAAAATTATATTTTCAGGGAAACGTTGTAGTTATCTCCCTAATGCAACGTGGTCGACACGAAATTCCTGAAAGAAAGAGATCAAACGTGTAATTAAATTTAAAAAAAATATCCAGAGGCTGCAGGAAGCTAAGCCTACGTCCTTTTGCAACAAATCTGGTGAAAGAAGACAATGGCAATCTTGCTTAGCGGTAAACAGCTGGCTGAAGGTTTGAGAGTCCTCCATATTTGAACATCTGCATCCAACCAGAGAGCTCACATATCCTTTGGCCTGTGGTGTCGTGCATTGTCTGGATCAGACATGGGAAGGCTGCTGTTCTCCAGATGTTGTGGTATTAACCATTTCCGGCAGCTTAAAGGCACCCCGGCGATAGAAATTAACAGTTGAGGCTTGAAAATATCTGGAGAACCATCCGCTCCTCACTTTGGTTCTAAATTCTGGTGGTAACATTTGGTTTTCACAAAATCCCCGTGTCCCCAAGGTGGTTTTTTTTTTTAACCCAAAAGGATTGTTTTTTTTTTCTTCGAAGAGGTGTCGCTTCTCATCCAAGAAGCTTCTTCGGTTCTGACTGAACGGTGGAAGGATGGCTATTCCTTGCAGTGATTTGGTCCTTAGCACTCTTGCCGAGAGCCATTGAGGCTACTTGGGAGGTTTTATTGGTGGTCTCCAAATAACCTCAATGACCAGATGACTGCAAAGAAGCACAAACCCTTCCCTCCTCCGCCCTTCGTTCAGAACAGAAGGAAGCTTCTTGGGACGAGAAGCGAGACCTCTTCAAGGAAAAACGAAGTCCGGTTGCCTCTTGAAAAAGCACCTGGGGGAAAACCACGACCTCCGCAGATACCGTATCAGAATTGCTCCTTGTGTGAAAACTTACCTTCCAAGTCATCGATGGTCTTCTCCAGTTTGGCTACTGATCTCTCGGCAAACTCGGCCCGGGTTTCTGCCTGTGAAAGGTAGGAGAATAGGAATCAGACAATGTCCTTGGAAGAAAGGTTTTAAGGGATCCAAACTTTTTAGTTTCCAGACTTTTTAGTTCCAAATTTAGCTGATTAGCAGGCGGGTTGTGTCTGGGCTTCGCCTCCAAATTCACCTCTGTGCTTTTCACTTTCAGTACTAAGGTTCTGTCTCCGACACAGAGTTGGAAGGGACCCTGGGGGTCTTCTAGTCCAACCCCCTGTTCGAGGAGGAGATTTTATCTGGACAAATGGCTGTTCAGTCTTTTCTTAAAAGTCTCCACTGATGGAGCAGCCACAACTTCTAGTGGCAAGCCGTTCCACTGGTTAATGGTCCTCACGGTCAGAAAGTTTCTCCTTATTTCTAGGTGGGTTCTCAGCCAGCCTCGTTCGTCACTTACCTCTTTGAGTTTGTCAGTCAAAATCTTGATCTCCTCTTCATATTTGTCCTCTTTTTGAGAGTACTGGAGGAGGAGAAAAATAAAAGACTCGTTCAAGACTGCAAAGTAGGCTGCATTAGCCCGTCATCTCTCGAAATGTGGTCCCTGGTCGTCGTACCGCAGAGAGACTGACCGAGCTAATGTGGGTTTTTTTTTTAAGTCTATGCCTTTCAGATAGAAACATGGAAGTTTCAGCTGCTCTCTCAGCCCCCAATGAGGGAAGCCAGTCAGGTCCCTTTAATGACCAAGTGTTTCATTTAACAACCGCAGCAAAAGAAAAAAAAGGCTGTAAAAATTGGGTGCAACTTTAGCCACATCGATTGGGCTTGTAACTACAGGACTCCCTGTGACTCCTATAAACATTGTCCTTACAGTACTTCAAAAGGAACAAAAAAAAAAAGACAAGATGCTTACGAATTTCATTTATATAGTTTTATCTTCTTAATACTATATAAGCTGTCCAGAGTTACCCCGTGGTAAGAAATAGACAGATAGACAGACGATAAAGATAGATAGATATCAATGGATATGGATGCAAAGAAGGGAGAGAGGAAGGAAAAGATAGTTAAGAATGAGATGGATGAATAGATAGATAGATAGATAGATAGATAGATAGATAGATAGATAGATAGATAAGTTAGTTATATAGAGGATGGATGGATGGATGGAGAGAGAGAGAGAGAGAGAGAGAGAGAGAGAGAGAGATGGATGGATATAGATACAAGGGAGAGAGGAAAGAAGGAAAAGATAGTTGAGAGGAGTGAGGGATAGAGATGGATGGATAGATACAGATAAGAGGGAGGGAGAAAGGAAGGAAGAAAAGGATAGTTAAGAGAGGAGGGAGGGAGGGATAGATGGTTAGATAGATGATAGCTATAGACGATGGATAGATGACAGATAATAAATAAATAATAAATAAATAAAATAGCTATGGAGAGTTAGAATTATGACAGCCAAAATATAGGTTACACAATCAGCCAACTGACCTCATGGTTGTTTTCTCGGCGGACCCGAAAAAACCAAACCCCCTCAAAAGGCCACAGAGGGATTTTGTGATTTTATTTCTAATCATCATCATCGTCGTCAAGATGGTTTTTTGTTTTGTTTTGTTTTTAAATTTTGGAGCAGGGGGAGGACCGCCCTTACCTTCTCCGCCTGAGCCTCAAGCGATTTGAGGTTGTTGGTAACGTTCTTCAGCTCCTCTTCCAATTCTGAACATTTACTGCGTGTGTCGGGGAAGGCGAAAAAGGCAGAGAGGGTAGAGGGGGAAGGAGAAAGAAAGAAAGAAAGAAAGAAAGAAAGAAAGAAAGAAAGAAAGAAAGGAAGGAAGGGACAGGGAGGGAAGGATGGACAGGAGACAGAAAGAGAAGTGAATCTTTTGAGCTGGGGATCTGGCCTAGGGATTTTGAAGGCATCCTCTCTGGGAATTGGGCACCTGGTGGTAATTTCGCCCAGGCTATCAAATGTGAAAAACCTTCTGCTATTTTTATTCTAGTCTATTCTCTATTCTATTCTATTCGATATTCTCTTCCATTCCATTCTTCCTACTTCTATTCTATTTTCTATTCTCTTTCATTCCATTCCTCATTTTATTCTATTCTGTTCTATTCCCTATTCTATTCTATTCCCTATTCTATTTTATTCTCTATTCTATTCTATTCTCTATTCTCTTCTCTTCTCTTCCATTCCATTCTTCCTATTTCTATTCTATTCTATTTTCTGTTCTATTCTATTTTCTATTCTCTTCCATTCCATTCCTTTTCCTCATTTTATTCTATTCTATTCCCTATTCTATTCTATATTCTCTTCTCTTCCCTATTCTCTTCCATTCCATTCCTCTTCATTTTATTCTATTCTATTTCCTATTCTATTTTATTCCCTATTCTCTTCTCTTCTCTTCTCTTCTATATTCTCTTCCATTCCATTCCTCTTCCATTCCATTCCTCTTCCTCATTTTATTCTATTCTATTCCCTATTCTATTCTATTCCCTATTCTATTCTGTATTCTCTTCTCTTCCATTCCATTCTTCCTCATTCCATTCCCTATTCTATTTCTATTTCTATTCTCAATGGGGGCCACTGGTCCCAGAAAGACCAGGGTGCGCAGCTTTACAAGCTGCAAGGATGGCGACCAAGCTGCCCCAAGTCACGCCAGAATCTTGGTGGGACCTTTCCTGGTTAAAACCAGCAGCCACAGCGGCTGCCTGCTTGAAAGAAAGCAAAAATGTTTTATTTTTATTTTATTTTTTTAGAAAAAGGAGGGAAGGAGGGGAAAAAAAGGAGGGGGATTGGAGACGGCAAGGTCAGGAAAAAAGCAGAGCCCGTCAAGCATCAAAAGGCACTCAGGAGAGAAGGAGAGTCGTGCACAGAGGAGTAAAAGGAGAAAAATTTAGGGGCTTCGGCGCACAAGGAAGGCGAGCGAGCGAGCGAGCGAGCAAGATTAGTACCTTTTCTTCAGCCTGAGAAAGGAATTTCAAGTTTTGGTCCATCAGACGGTTCTGCTCATTCATTTCTCGCAAACGGCTGGTTTAGGGACGGCCACGGGTTCGAGGGGGGCAAGGAAGGGCCGGAAAGGAGCGGCGGCGGCGGCAACGGCAACACAACGGAAAAAGAGGCAAAGCGGCCATAAAAGGGATCGACGGACGAGGAAGAAAGGGCGGAGGGAAGGAAAAAAAAAAGGAAAAATAAAAATTGGTCACAACACATGCATGGCGGGAGGGGAGAGGGTTTTCACTGGGGGGGGGGGCATGCCACGGGGGGGGGGGGAAGGGGGGGGGGAAGGGACGCATTACACGAGGCCAGGAAGCTCAACGGGGTGAAAACGAAAGCCGCAACTCCAGGGTTGCTTGTGTGGAAGGCGATTCAACGCAGCCCGTGTTGGTGCACCCATCGTCCCCGCCGATTCAGACATGCAACCGGGGGTCTGGGGCAGGAAGGGGGTCTCCAAACCTCCTTCCTTCTTATCCATCTCTTTCTCCTGCCCCTTCCTTCCTTCCTTCCTTCCTTCCTTCCATCCCTTTCTTCTGTCCCTTCCTTCCCTCCCTCTTCTCCCATTTCTTCTTCTTGCCCCTTCCTTCTTTCCTT